TGGATTCATTCCTTTCCGAAAAGTAATTGTGTAAAAATGAATGTAACAATCTCGACCAGAATTCGAACTCTGAGCCTCTTACCATTACACCACCTGCGCATTCTCGGTAGCTATGCGACTGTTTAAAAAAAAATCACGAAGTGGCGTTCAATACTGTAAAGATTACCTTTGTAAGAAGGTATACTGAAAAGTTATTGATCCAACCCACAGATCTAACCAAATGACCAAACATCAGTTTTTTTTTTAAATTCCTTTTTAGTTGGTCTGAGAACTTTTCAGCAAATCATCTGATTCCTATGTCAATATGCAACAAACTATTTATACATCTATGCAAGGGATGTCGAAAGATTAAAACAATATTAAATATATCATACAGTTTTTTTTCTCTGTTCAACGGAAAAATAACTGTAAATTTTCTTTTGACATTTGAAGTCGTAAAAAGGATCTTATCAGTTTCTCGACTATCATAATAACGTTTTTTTCTTCTTTGCGGAAGAGTTCAGTAACTGTTTCCATAACTCAGTCAGTCTTAATAGACTCAGACCAAAAACAGTTGAATATTTTAAAACCAAGCGGTATTGGTAAAGATATGAAACTTTTTTTTTTTTTTTTACTTCTGGTGTCTAATGACTAAGTTATCGACTAATATTATCTTAAAAACTGAAAATGAAAAAAGAAAAAGGTTTTATTTAATTTTTTGTATAGTACAAGCAAGTTCGTGCATTTTGAATAATCAATCGACTGGTCTATATTTAATTTTTTATTATCTTTAAAATTCCTCTCATTTGATCAATTCACTCTAATTAACATTGTGAGTAAGATAAACTTTTATACAACACTAATTATTTTTGTGATAGCAAAAAAATAAATAATTATAACGGGCAGATATTATTTTTTATGATATCACTGATTCAAAATCACCTGAAAATAAAAAAATCCAGTCAAATCCACGTTTGGACCTTATATGCGGAAAGATACAGTTAAAAGGGCTTCTGAACGACGCGAAAATCTGTTTAAAATAAAAATATTCCACTAAGATTTATATAACAAAAATTACTTCAGTATTTGAATAGAAATACCGACTTTAATCTTTCTTGTCTGGAAGCAATAAACCAAAGTAGGAGAGCTTGCTGAAGGAAAAATAAAATCCGATAAAAAAATTCAACAAAAGATAAGAAGGCTTGTTGTTTGATTTAGTTCACCATTTTATCAGACCTATCATCTTGAGTTTTATAGCCAATTCACAAGGTTACTTGATGTTGCCCGGGATTTGTCGTTACTGTATATACTTGAATAATGAAAGTGTTTATGATTAGTTTTTTATGCACAGGTAATTTTAATTCTTCTGAAGGGGGTGAAAATCATGCATTTTTGGTGACCGGTTGGACTATACACGGGTCAATGTTTTGCCTCGCTAGCGCAATTACGAATTAGTAGTGAGTTCGGTCCTCACTGGGTGCTACATACTTTCAACCTTGTACCACATTTAAACTACGCTTGGAAAATCGCTACACAGGTCAATGTTTTATGGAAGAGTTAAAATTAATGCCCCCAAAATTCAGGAGTCGCACTATACATAAAGTCGACTTATACAAGAGTATATACAGCATATTGATACATCAATAAACCCGTGGCCTAATTATGAAAGAAAAAGTATTAATTTTAGACAGCAAATATTTATTTTTCAGCAAAATCTCCTTTGTTAATTCACCTAATTCAGTGGTGAATATTACTCACATAGATTAAACATTATATAGTGAAGCTTTCAGATCGAAATTCAGTTAATAACTACACGTCAGGCGACAGGCTTACTGATCCATTATTTAATCAGAAATTTAACTAGTGTTACTTTGTTGGGATGCTTCTTTCTCTCTCTCTCTCTCTCTCAATAATAATAAATAATAATAATGAAATTGAAATCTCAAAAATGTGGCACATGGGAACATCAACAATCTCTGTTGTAGTTGGAGCCCTCGGATTGGTTGGAAAAGATTCCAGTAGGCTAATTGAAGGGATTCCTGGAGGCCCATGCCTTGAAGAAATACAAAAATATTGTTCTCACGAGTACAGCCCACACCTTACGAAGGGCTTTGTCTATGTAAAATATGTGCGTGTGTGTTTATTTATTTTCTTTAATTGGTCAGTGGAAAATGTCATGATGCTATTTCTAACCTTAGGTCTCTGGGCGGGACCCGGAAAGAAATATGTACATGCCAGAAAGCAAAGGAAATAATAATAATAATAATAATAATAATAATAATAATAATAATAATAATAATAATAACCTGGCGTCAAAAAACGCTTATATGGCCAATATGCTCTCAGGAGTAACATCTTTGGCTGAAGGGTGCTGGGCTAAAAGGAGAGATGGGGCCATTTATAATGGCTGTATAGGACCAAATCCTATGCACTAGGAATTATCGGGTAAACGTAATGAAGAATAGTGCAGATGTAGATTATGTGAACAAAATGTTAAAACGATTTCCCACTTACTGCCAGGCTGTCCATTTTTGGCACCAAAGTAATACAAAGATCGACATGGCAAGGCTGGATAGTATATTTACTTGGAAATATGTCAATAATACCGTGAGCCATATGCAGAAAAGGTGTATGAACATCTATCCAAGCCAGTCATAGAAGTCACTACTCTTTTCTGACAGATATATAAAAGCGAATAGAGCAAATCATGTGATTAAAGACGACAAAAACAAAAGAAAAGAAACACCTTCTTATAGATATATATTAGTGCTACCAGGTAAAATGCATATCTATCTATCTATCTATCTATCTATCTATCTATCTATCTATCTATCTATCTATCTATCTATCTCATGTTGTCTGTCTGTGTGTCTGTCGTGGGCGTTGTTACCTCGCCCAGGCCGCATTTCTCACCCGATTTCGATGCGGTTTTCAACACAAGTTTGCAAATGGCTGCCGTAAGGACATGACGGAGCCATATTTTTGAGTTCGGAATCAGGTTCCGAAAAAATCGATAATCGAAAAAATTCTGCTTAAAGGAATGATCGCATTTAAACCAAATTTGACACCCTCTTAGAGTCTACCATTAGAAGTGTTGTCCAGAAGTTTCATGACCACGGACCCCTAAACAGCGCGGAAAATCGATAAAACCCAAAGACCAATACGCCCAGATTGCGTCTGAACCGCATGTCGGTTTTTAGCGAAAACCGAGCGGATTTATGAAGAGGCCATTGGGAGTCATCATGTGAAGTTTCAACTCTGAGCATCCCCCCCAAACAGAGTGCAAATCGACAAACGGTCAACCCTTAAAAATGTTTTTTCCGGTTTTTTAAAGCTGATCGTATTGTGTTTATTTTGTTTAGTTCTTTTTTCGTAACAGATTTACTATAGAGCTTAGAAAAAGTTGGCAGTGTGATATAGGCAAGAAGTAAGGCATGTAACAATATCAGCACGGCAAAGGGCACTCCTCTAAAGGCAAGGAAGGGCAAAAATATTTTAAGTCAAGTGATAGCGATTGCTGTATTAGTCGTACTATTTTTGAATCAAGCACGGGCAACGCCGGGCCATGCTGCTAGTATTTGCTAAAGTCTATGACAAAAAAGTAATATTAAAGTTCTTAAAATTAAGTGGCACCTTAAAACTACCGTTATACCTATAATATTTTCAGCTTTTGCTGAAGACAATTGCTGGTCACTGCTGTTTACAAGAGATTAAAGATAATTGCACTGCGTAGAACTGCTTATCTGTTCAGGCGAGTAAAGAGAATATAATCACTGTACGTGTTAAGTATCACTTAACATCAGAATCTGTGCAAAAAGAATGAATATATTTACTACTTTACCTTATTATTGAATGCGAAAGAGTAAGGGAAAAAGAAAAAGAAAACATTATTAAGGATAAAAAATAACAGGAATTAAGAAGACAAAAGATAACGATTGACATTGAATTTAAATTTTTGAAGATCAAATTTAACTCTAAAATAAGAAGACGGAAGTTCTTCAAACGTGCAAGAGAAGAAACTGCAAGGAACTTACGGTCACATTTAGTCATTTCAACTGTAAAACAATGGGACGTAGTTGCCAATCTAGTACTGCGTTTAAATTTGTAAAGTCTAGCTACCAAAGAGGATCATGAGAACAATTACCATAATTATAATTTATAGAAAAGGCAGAGTGAAGTTACGCTACAGAGTAAGAGGTACAAATTATGGGGATACTTTTTTCTTTACTTGCAATCATTTCAACCCAAGCAAGGCGACAATGCCACTAAGACGCAAGGAGCTACTGGAAGCGAAAGAGAATTAAAAGACTTTAGAAGGAACCGGAAACCCAATGATAGTATAAATTTCAGAGTTTAGGCGGAGACGTTAGAAGTGTAGAATTGAAGAAGAATTAAGAAGGAATCGAAAACCCAATCCTTAACATGAAACAGGGAATAAATCTCTACATCTGTTTTAAAGACCGGGGAGGGGTTCTTTCAACTTTATATAAAGACCCCTTGCTACAAATTCATGAAGGTCAAAATATTGGCTTATCATTTCAAAAGGGTTAAGATATATCTTTAGCACTACCATCGACTGTACTTATTTCTCACGTAAAGTTTTTGGGAGATAATTCTAGCTTTCTGCCAAAGAGCACGTTTACAAGTGTCGTTTATTGTATTATTTTAGCGTCAAATTGACAAGTGCCAGCTAATCAGCATAAAAGCACTCGTGCGAAAGACAGCTTTTCTTGACAATACTATTCGAAATAGGGTAAAAAAAATTGTATATGATTGAACGTATAACTGAAGTAATTTCGACACCCTTTGACCACTTTAGATTTATATAACAGAGATCAAGTAGGCAAAGGCGGAAAAGCTTGTTGACCGCGGCGTTAATCTTCTTATCACGGGATAATGCACTTCAAACCTGAAGCATATTTCTCAAGTTACTGAATATATGGCAATGAGCGGTCGTCTGAAGAAAGAGGAAACATATGCTTGCTTTGTAACGCATAGGCATTTACTTACTGAAATGAAGATTATTGGTTGCATTTGGTTGGGAGAAATACGTGGATATGCACCTGACTGACTGATATGAACAACTGATATAGATAGGGCAACTTGACATAGATAGATAGATAGATAGATAGATAGATAGATAGATAGATAGATAGATAGATAGATAGGAGGGAGAGAGAGAGAGAGAGAGAGAGAGAGAGAGAGAAAGTATCAGTGAAGTTGGATATGAAAAGAAAGAAAGAAATACACAGAAAGATATAAAAAGACGGAAATAGGGATGGACAAATAGATAGATAGAAACTTAGATAGAGAGAAACTGCGATAGATAGAAAGAAAGAAACTGAGATAGATAGAAACAAAGAGACTGGGATAGATAGATAGATAGATAGATAAATAGATAGATAGATAGATAGATAGATAGAAATGGAGGGAGGGAGAAAGTATTAGTGAAGTTGGATGAAATGGAAAAGAAAGAAATACACAGAAGGATATGAAAAGACGGAAATAGGGATAAACAAACAGATAAATATAAACTGACACGAGAGAAACCGATAGATAGATAGAAAGAAAGAAACTGAGGTAGACAGAAAGAAAGAGACTGCGATAGATAGATAGATCGATAGAAAGAAAGAAAGAAAGAAAGAAACTAAGATAGATTTATAGATATATAGATAGATAACGAACTATAAAAAAACTGGATACCTTGACAGATATGAAGAAATCTAGGCCAGAAAGTATTATACACAAGTCAACGTTTGCAGAAATGTTTATTCAGCTTAAAAAAGCTCTTATTTGAAACAGCGAGATTGTAAATACATTCAGTTTTCTTCACGAGCTAAAATTTGTTTATATTTTGATTTCTAGTTTCCTCTCTTCATTCTTACTGAATGATGAGATTTTTTTATCTTCATAGTTTATTAATATATAGAAATATAATAGTGTCATATTAAATAAGAAAGTATGACAGATTAATTAATATCTTATAATGTGTTACCGGGTTCGTCTAGTTAGCTCCTTTCCTGGAAAATTTGAAACGGAAATTAGAATTAACATGGAATGGCTAAATATCCGGTTCATTTCTATTTTTTTAATATCGTTAAAAATTAAATATTTTAAAGAAATATATGCACAGCATTGAGATTTTAATGGATAATCTGGTAGAATTAAAAAAAAAAAAAAATTCATAAGAATGGCTGTATTACAGAGTATTATTATACTTAACGATATAATTTATTTCCTGTTTTTAGTTTCAGCAACACAGTCGTATTATACTCGAGATTTATTGCATTAATATAGAGCAATAGGATCGTATTATACTTAAGTTGTACTGTACACAAGAAAATACGCTAGATATTTATGTTTATCTAACACTGTATTTTGACTGATATAGAGATATGAGAAAAAGAAAAGATTGATTAATAGATACAGAAATCCCTCGATTAATGCGCATTTGATTAATGCGCATTTGATTAGTGCGCTAAAATTTTTATATACCAAAATTAGATTAGTACTCGATTAGTGCGGTAAAACATTCTTCAGTTTAACTATAGTAATTGAAAATTTTTTTTATAGTTACTGAGTTATATATTTTATAGTTACTGAGCTATTATAGTTAGTCGCTTTAATAGAGGGATTTCTGGATATATTTCTAGTTTTAAAATATCTTATTTTGTTGTTATTTTGACAAATCATTATTACTATAGCTATCACTATTCTTCTTCTTCTTCTTCTTCTTCTTCTTATTATTATTATTATTATTATTATTATTATTACTAAATTTACATTATCTTATTCTTGTTTTTATTAAACATAAATTTAAGCGTGCTACTAGATTGGCAACTAGGTCCCACCTGTTTACTGTTGAAATAGCTAAATGCAACTGGAACTTCTACTCCAACAGTTTCTTTCCCCGCATTCCCCATCTGTGGGACTCCCTTCCGTTTTCTTGCTCCCCTGATAACTACAATCTTCAAAATTTAAGTGCAACGTCAATCGCTATCTTCTGTCTTCTTGAACTCTGTTGATTTTTTGTTCTTTCTTCAGTCCTCTCTATTTTCAGTCTTCTCTTTCACTTTCACTTTCACTTTCATTCCCTACAACCCCCTGCGTTCAAGTGGCATTATCGCTTTGCTTGGGGTGAAATGTTTTAAAAAGGATATAAAAACAGTGGAACAGCTAGATAGATATAAAAAGAGTTTGGGATAGATATATATAAAAATAAAATCACAGATGCTTTTGATCTTCATTAGGTCTCCACATATATGGCCTTGTGTCCGAATTAGTTCAGTCAGTTATGTACCATGCGTGATACACACTTAGACGATCATGTATCTTTCGATACATGACTGACGAGGCAGATTTTTCCCCGCAGTACGTAGGTTGACATTTCTTTCTGTGGTAGACCATCTGCCATCCAAGGCTATAGAACCTGGTCTATCGTACTATTTACCCATAGCTGGTGGGAGAAGAAAAGGATTCATACCTTTCTCAAGGGTATTAGCACGTAAGTGAATGTACTAGATCTGACTGGAATTCGAATACGGTTCTCCGATTTCTCAATCCGAATTAGTTAAGCTTACTAAATAAGACTTGGTTTATAAAGCTAGCTAGCTAGCTAGAAAGAAAGAAAGAAAGAAAGAAAGAAAGAAAGAAAATAATTAAAAAAAACATGTAGCGCCAATTGGTGAAAGGACTGTTGTAGATCCTGACGAAGATACCATTTACCCTTCAGCACATAGGAGTATGAAATGCCTGGGGTTGATCGATAGTATGATTGGTAGAGAAAATGAAGATATATTAAGATATTTCCGATATTTAGAAAGAAAGAAAGAAAGAAAGAAAGAAAGATAGATAGATAGATAGATAGATAGATACGATTGGAAGCTGAACACTTCTTAGGTCGACCCCTTATCCTAAATGTGTATTTCGAGGACCAAACATCAGAATATTGATTTACAAAAGTGGGCCCAGAACTTTTCAGCACCCTATTATAGTCATTTATTAAGTTTAGCATCGTCTGGTATAAAACATCAGCCGTGAGGCAACCAGTGCGGATCGAATTCACTACCCAAGCGAAGAGATGCCCACTATACGTCGATTACAAGATTTGAACCGGTTGTCCAAACCCGTTCAGAAATATCTAAAATCTTCGCTTTCACAGATTGATGGTTAAAATAGCTTCGACCGAAGCGTGCAGGTATCAGAGAGGACGATCCTTCTCCACTGGCGCTATAGAATCACAAACAAAGAACTATGCCAAATAACAGAAACTACACCATTGAGAGCTATCAACATCAGAATCAACTCTAATGGATAGCACATGTAACTCAAAGAGAACATAATGACATAATCAAGATGTTAATGTTCCACACTATATCAAACTAAAGGTTAGGAAGGAAGCCTCCGTTAATATTGGAAAGGAGTGATAACTGGACTGAGAAACCTAAATTTCTTTAATAGAAAGATTTTATAAAAACACAAGGGGTTGCTGTGAATGAAAGAGAATGGGAAGACTTTAGTCAGGAGAAAGAACAATAAAAGAATAGGGTTCAGGAAGACAGATGACGACAGTTGTCGCTGCAATTATTATTTTTAAGATTGTAAGCGGCAGAGAAGCAAGAAACCGGAAATGAGAAATGCGAGAAAAGAACCTATTAGAATAGAAGTAGCAATTACACGCAGCTAGTTCAACAGTAAAATGGTGAGACCTAGTTGCCAATAGTACGTTTAAACTCTTCCAGTCGAGGTACCAAGCTCATAAGAATAATTGCCATGAAAATATTTATAGAAAAAACAGAAGGAAGTCGCGTCACGTGGGAAAGTGACTAATGTCGATGCTATTATTTCATTAAAAGTTATCTATAGATATAAAAGGTATACAAAGGTTTTAGTCCTGTATGTGTCACTTGCTTAGGTGAGTCTGTGACAAAGTCAAACAAGGAAAAATAGAAGATTGTCTTGTGTCAATTTTCTAAGTATGAAAGCCGTGTCTGCCTACCTGGAAATTCAGCATCAAAATTCCGTTTCTATTCTTTCATTTTTTCTTTTATATTTCAGATTAAAACATTGACTGCTGGCACCGGCGAATAATTTACGAGTTGCTTGATTATTTTTTTCTCTTTTATGATTATTAATAAGTTTATTCATCTTGAGAATGCACGTCAATTTCTCTTCGTTGCTGATTCCCCCGACTGTCAAAATTACAGTATCAATTAGTTTAGCCTGTCTTTCTCTTTGTCTGTGCTACTATGTACGCCGCCATTTTGATTGATTCTTCTATACGAAGTGACCTTTGAATTTATCAGTTTGCTTGTGTTACCTTTTATCGATCGCAATCGATTGTCTGTCTCTACCTTCATTTATCAATCTATTTATCTACTCTATGACTTTATCTCAATGTCTGGGCTTCAATTTGATTTCCGACGTTCTCCAGCTCATCCGTTTTCTTCGTATTGTTGTCATTTTCTTTCTTTCTTTCTTTCTTTCTTTCTTTCTTTCTTTCTTTCTTTCTTTCTTTCTTTCTTTCTTTATCTATCTATCTATCTATCTATCTATCTATCTATCTATCTATCTATCTATCTATCTCAGTCACTGGTATATGTCCGTTTCTTTATATCTCAGCCTCTTCATATTTATACATGAATGTTTCGTTGAATGACAGCCATCGCAAATTTTGGAAGTCTGTTATTCAGTTTTTCTAGTGTCCATACAATTTTTCTTTTTTGAAGGCCGTTAAAAGGAATTGTCCATAGTAATTATTGACCCAAGCGCGTCCAACTAATTCTTTAGCTATTTTTAAGTGAGTGTAGGGGGGGGGGCTAATTTTCTTGGTAACAAAGGTTAGTATATTTGTATTGCTGCCAATACTGTGTTGTGTGAGTGTAGTTTTTGTTCAATTTCTAAACACAAAAAGACATCCTGGCTTGGGATATGGGGAGGTAGAAAGCTACCTACATGAGAACCTTATGTAAATAACTGGTAGTGGGATGGAGAATAAAAATACAAACATTACTACGAACTACAAAGGATAGTAAGTTGTAGAGTGCTATAGGTAGCTCACGTCCTGAATGGATATAACATATAGAAGAATATATATAATTTGTGAAGAGCGGCGCTATATCGAGTCTAATTAGTTACCTCATCGTCACCGAGGTTCATTGGTAGAGTTGGTATGACGCTTGTGTCGTATCGTAATGGTTCGAGTCCCGGTGGATGTGCACTGCTAATGAGTCCCAAATAGAACGAAACGGCTGTCCAGTGCTTTCTGCAATCTGTTGAGGATTATTCTAGACTCGATGAATTAATTATGATTATTTCAAATCCACCTCGTAATCTCTTTCACACACACACACACACACACACACACACACACACACACACACACACACACACACACACACACACACATATGTGATAGAAATTATATATATGTGCGTGTGCATGTGTAAAATTCACATATAAATCAAATATCTGTAAAGACAGTATACATAAATGATAAAGTACATATGGCAGCAAGGCCTCTGATAATGAGATTTTGAGAAGCGTGAAACCAACTCTTAATTGTTAGTGTTCCTGTATATATATATATATATATATATATATATATATATATATATATATATATATATATATATATATGTGTGTGTGTGTGTGTAAAATTCACACTAAAAAAAACTCTCACACAAAACCGCCTAGTAAACGAAACATGAAAATTAACCATTCATTTTTCATCAAAAACTGCTAAACTGTTAGCAGAAAAGCGCTCACGAAAGTCAACCTTATGGACAATTTCTACTCGGATTCAATCTTCAGAAGAAAACTTGTAAGGACACAAAAATTAAATAAAAAATATTCACATGATATTCCATATGCGTCATATTCAACGAAAATTGCATACACACTCACGCACGCGGAGACACACACACACACACACATATATATATATATATATATATATATATATATATATATATATATATATATATATATATATATATGTGTTTCATTAAAATGACAGACAAGGTACTACAGTTAAGCTGTTTATTTAATTTTTCTTATGTTCTAACAAGAGCTTTCTTTTCTGGACAAAGGGTGCATAAAAACTTTCCAAATGTTTGATATTTCCGAGCGCTTTCGTTTATACCTTTAGGAATTATCAAGGATGATTCGATTTTTCAGCTTAATTGAGTGTGTGCATTATGTGTATGTCTTAGTGTGTAGTAAGGATGTTTTAATTTCCGAATACGGTCAGCACATTGTGGCCTTGTTCGTATATATATATATATATATATATATATATATATATATATATATAACTCCACCTCCGATACAATTTCAATACCCTTGCTTTTCTCCCGCACTTCTATTACACTTCGTGTTGTGCGTTTATTTATATTTTAAATACAATATCCACTTTTATCCTTCTTTCTCTCTCTCTCCCCCGTCTCTCTCTCTCTCTATATATATATATATATATATATATATATGTATGTATATATATATGTTTATGTGTGCATATGTTTGTGTGAACGTATGTTTGTGTGTGTGCGTGTGTGTCTGTGTAAGCACTTGTATTAGAGCTGTGAGTGTATGTTATCATAGGAAGCCGTTGTAAGTCATTTCGTTTCTTACAATGAATAAGATGTTTTGACAGATTTGACTTCTCATTACAAATGTCTATTTGCATTTCTGCGCTCATTTCGTAGATGCTCCTGTTTTTAACTCAAAATAACCTTACTCTCCTTATGTGTGTTGAGAGTGCCTGATTTCTATCTCTTCGTTTAAATAGGGATGAAAATATCACGTGATTTTTATTCTTTCTTCTGTGAATGATAAGTTCATTATCTTTCTTGCAGATACGCACACAGGGCATCTCGAGATGGTGTAATGGCAAGCAAACTTCTCTCTAGAACAACTACCAGTAAGTTCGATCCTCACTGAGTGCCTCATACTGTCCGCTGGAAAATCACTATAGACGCACACTCATACACGCGCATCCACACACAGACATTATTTTTTTTTTACTATTGTTCCCCCAATAGAAGGCCTAAGTGCTAGTCAAGGTAGAGGGTTACTGAATAAGGTAGGGAGAAAGTGCTGTATATTATGAGGGTGTGTAGGATAGATAACGGTTGATTAAGACTCTAGTGTTTCCCTACGGGCTTCCGTTCCATATTGCAACAACAACAACACACACGCATATATATATATATATATATATATATATATATATATATATATATATATA